AATCAGAGCGCGATCGCCATTGCGAAGAACAACGGATATCAGAGTCGCGCGAAACATACCGACATCCGCTTCCACTTCGTCCGCGAACAAGTGAAGACCAAGTCCATTGAGCTCAAATATATCGAGACCAAGTTACAACTTGCCGACTTCCTGACGAAACCAATATCGACGAAGCAGTTCGAACTTCTGTCAGACAAATCCAACATCCGGAACTCCCCGTCGAGGGGGAGTGTTGACGTCAGCAAAGTTCGTCATCCTGAAGTCAGCACTTGTTGGTCACTATGACGTGATCAAGGATCATAAACAGTATCAGGTTGAGGTTCAACCAGACCAGAACCAACATCAGGTTGAGGTTATAGAAGGTTACGCTCAAGTTCACGTAGCAACCAGTCATATCAGACAGCATAAGTACAAGTCGATCACTTCTCCATTTTTTCACTCACAACAACAGTCTCCTTTTCCATTCTCCACTCACGAAAAATAAAAATTTGAACCTTCCTCACAAAGTGTCTGTACATAAACAAGCATTCTCGTTACATTCGGTATCATTTCAACGCCGACTACTTCAATGGATTTATCGATGGAATAGGCGGTGGTCGTCCTCGGATCAACAGGGAGGAATATTCATTCCTAACACACTCGCAATGTGGAGTGTATGATGAAGCTAAAAGCTTTTATTGGAAATTACGTAGTCTCGGATATGGTTCAATTGCATCAAGAGGAGTTTATTCAACGCGTAGCAAATTTTGTTGCGTATGAGCAAGGATTGTTGGGATATCGCAGAACATACCAACGCCAGTTTCGACACCTTCTGCACAAGTGGTGACGACACCGTCAGTAAACCCGAAGCGTCCCGTGAAAATCAAGGTGAAAGCTTTTACGAGAACGAAGCTAAATTCTCTTGCGTTCTAGTAGCGAGAAACGGCCATCGCTATTACGATGGCTTGAACTTCTGATGACCGCAGTCAGGTGGCTTTTGCCATATCGCATATGGATGAAGGTCACTCGTCACCTGCATAGCGGTTGCCCCCTGCGCAAGGCGCGCCAAGGTTATTCGAACCATCGCCCCAACGCCTACCAGTCTGGTTTGTCGCGGAGAAACGACACCACTCAGTAGGTGCGGGGCGACCTACTGGGAAAGATTTGAGTTCTGTTGAGCCTCAGGGAGGCATTGGTCAA